ATTGGAGGGGGGGGGGGAAAGGATACAATCAAATAGACAAATAGGATGAGGTCTGGGAAAGAACCCAGCATTGAGCTTTCATGTCCCAAAGGAACAAATGGCCCTCACAATATTCTTAACACCAGGAAACTCATCTGTTCCTGTGTTCAAAAGTCTTTCTAATCTCCTCAGTACCAAGTTCTTGTTTAATTAACTACATCATGCTTCCTGAAATTAGGCCACTATGGACTCCCGGAGCGTACCTTTCAGTCTGGTCAGCCTCACTTGTTCAGCCTAAGATACAGTTCAACTTGAAAGAACCAAGAACAAAAATAAAGTTTCCAGTAGGTAGCCCCATACCTCACAGCCATACTATGTCTAAACTTGAATAAAAAAGCAAATCTTCATGTAGATTTAACACCTACTTAGAGGTGATAATAACACATATTTAATGTTAAAAACTAGATACTAAACAGATTATAGGGCACTTGAGTGGCCACTTAGTTTACAGGGAGTTGTGCTAACCCAAAGGTGATACTACTCTGGCAGCTCAACGCCATCGGCAGTCATGAAGGAGAAAGATGGGCAATCTCCTCCCCTGTGATTTAGTAGCCTCTGAAACTCACTGGAGGAACACCTAAGAGTCACTTCTCACTTAACAGCAGTCAATCTGTTATTTGTATAAATTAATTAGAGAGATAGCTAACAACTGTTACTGAATAGTTGCCTTTGAGTTGTGGTATTGGAGGAGAGTACTGAATATACCATGAACTGCTAAGATAACAAAAAGGTTTGTCCTGGAGAGGGTAAAATCAGGCTGTTCCTCAGAGGCAAGGATTCTGAAGCTCCATCAGACATACTTTGTGCATGTTGCAAGGACGGACCAGTCTTTGGAGAGGGACATCATGCTTGGAAGGGTGGAAAGACAGAATAAGAGAAGAAGACCTCGGTTGAAATGGATTGACTCAGTGACTGGGGTAATGGGAACAGGTGTGTCAGAGACAATACGGTTGGCTCTAGACAGAGCAGGGTTCAGAGCTGTTGTACGTGGGGTCACTATGAGTCACAAGTGACTGACTCAACAACACATAACAACAACAACAACAATGCATTCTGTATCAAATTTCAAAAACACAAAGCTATAAATACTATAGCTATAAAGCTTTAGTTTTCAAAGTAATTACAACCTACAAAAGATGCATATATACAACATTACAAACACTCTCACTTCAATACACTAAATGCATCCTCTTCTACCAAAAGCCCTCATCAACCTTTTTTACTGTCAAACATGAAGAACTGTCTATACTCTGTTAATACTTCACTTCTCATTAATTCTTTAAAATTCTATAATCTGAGGCTACCGCCCACTCTTCCAGGGAACCTACTGTCTTCTCACTAATTTCCTCGGTGTTATTGTCAAGTGAGTGGACATTTTCAGTCTTTATCTCCTATTACCCCTTAGGCACATTTGACACTGCTGACAAAGGAACATTTTATGATTCTGCTTATACAAAACACCTAAAATAGTCATTAAGTCTGTCGTGCAGGAAGTACAACGAGCATGCTCCCTACAAGCAAGGATGGTGAAACTTGATCTCGTACACTTGGGGCGTGTTGTCAGGAGGGCCCAGTCCTTGGAAAGGGACATCATGCTGAAAAAGGAGAAGGGCCAGAGAAAGAGAGGAAGATCCCAGCAAGATGAACCGACATGGTGACTGTAACAATGGACTCGAGCACAGCAGAGATGATGATGAGGACGAGGATGATGATGATGATGACGACGCAGGACAGAGCAAGGCTCAGATCTTTTGTTCATAGCGTCACTATGAGTTGTGGTTAGTGCGTTGACACCAAACAACAACACAGAGACAGAGTTTATTTGTGAATATAAGCAGCTAGGGTAGGGGTGGAAGAAAGTTGATGGTTACTGCTGCAAGGGTACTGAGTTCCTGTTCTGGGTGATGAAAAATCTTTGGAAATAGATATGGTAGAGATGCCTGTACAATTGCATTAATGTAAATAATGTCACAGAAATACACTTAAAAATGTATAAATTACACAATTTTTACCACAATTAAATTATTAAAAGAAAGTTAATATAATACTGAATTATAATTCATGATCTGCAAAGACCAAATGTATGTCAGAAGAGACTCTGAAAATTGCACTGGAGCGTAGCAGAGCCAAAGCACAAGGAAGAATTCAAGATCCTAAAGAGTTGAATAGAAGATTTCAAAAGGCGGCACACGATGACAAAGTAAAATATTACAATGAAATGTGCAAGGAGTTGGAGTCAGAAAATCAAAAGGGCAGAACTCGCTCAGCATTTCTTAAGCTCAAG